CTAGTTGAAAAATTTCACCCCAGAATTTGGACACTAAGCTTTGTCTTCTAGCTTCTAGTGCTGCTATCAAGAAGTTTGATGAATTCACTTAGAAAATGCACATTGAGGTCTCTCCTTTCCACACATGGTTCTAGGTGCTGGGAAACTACAGTGAACAAAGCAGACAATAAAGAAGATAAATAAATGAAGTCAAGTGATGAGTGCTAAGTAGAAAAAAAGATCAGGGAGTATATGCATGAGGTGTGTGTGTGTGTGTGTGTGTGTGTGTGTGTGTGTGTGTGTTTCTGTGTCTGTCTGTATATATGTGTTCACAGAGAAGTTTTTCCCTCATGGTTTGGGATATGGTGGCCGATCTTATTCTTGATCCTTTGTATTTGGCTTGGTTTTTATTCTCTTCCTGAAAGTTTTTAGGATCTTTTTTTGTTGTTGTTCTCCATGATTGACATTTTGTGATAAAAGTATGTTGTGTGTTGTAAGTCCTTATTTTTTATTATTTTATGTTTTTGCTTGATATAATTGAAGATTCCCATGCAGTTGCAAGAAATAATATGTGGAGTTCCCATGTACGGAGACCCCGTACCTTTCCCCCAGTCTCCACCATCTTACATAACCACAGCACAATATCTCAATAAGAAACTGGCAGATAGACTCCACCCACCTATTCAGATTTCACCAGTCATACACACACGTGTGTGTGTGTGTGTGTGTGTGTGTGTGTGTGTGTGTGTGTGTGTTTAGTTCTATGCAGTTTTATCACTCTGCAGATTCCTGTGACCACCACTATAGTCAAGACACAGAACAGTTCCATCGCCTAGGATTCCTGGCACTACCCTTTTATAACACAACCACCTCCCTCCCTTTCCCCTCCCTAGCCCGTGGCATTCACCAATTTGTCCTACACCTCTGTCATTTTGTTCAGGCCTTTCTTTCATTCATTCTTCTGGGCTCTCAGCAAGCCTTTTGGTCTGGAAACTCATATTCTTCGGGTCTTAGAAATTTTCGTCCCTCCTCCTTCCCTCCCTGCCTTTCTTGTTTTGTGATAACTTGCTTTCCACTGTAATCTCTTTCAAAAATTCCTAATGGTTGGACGTGGAGCTTCCAGGATCAATCGTCTAATTCTTACATCTTTTCTAGCCTAGTGTCCATCTCTGATTTTTGGTCTATTCTAGAGTAGCTCCTTAGACAATTCTTTTGACTTTTTTGTGGCTTTTATATTTTTCATTTTTATGAGCTCCATTCTGTCCTTTTTTTTTTTTTATTACATGCTGTTCTTGTTTCATGAATGCAATCTTCTTTTCTTCTCAGGTTAACAGTGTATACTGATTATTGCTTTGGGAGGCTTATTTCTGCTCCCTGCTTTGTCCTGGTTAGATTCTCCAGCAATTAAGTTGTCTTCTCTTACGCATGTTGTGGAAAGATACTTGGTGGCCACATGGAGCGACAGCTAAACACTCCTTAAATACAGACTTCCAGCCAATTCTTGTTACCAGTTCTATAACTCACTCCATCTTCTGCTGAGTCTTGAGTCTTCAACGCCTGAGGGTCTAAGTTTCTGAAGGACAAAAGGGCTAGTTCTTATTTAGATCCCTCTCTTTAGCTCCTTTAGTTTCTACTTGTTCCCTTCTTCTGCGACACTTCTTATTCCTGGGCTGTCCTTTAGAGGGCTTTTGGGAAGGCCCGCAGACATACATGTTCAGGGTACCATGATGAACTAGTTGTTGGTTCATCGAGGGATTTTGCACAGGAAACTTATTAACATCCTCCCAGGGGCAGGGTGGAGGGTAGATTGACTTGAAGGGGAAATGGAGACAGAGGAGGATGGTCCATCAGGCAAGGCAGGAGATGATGAGTGTCAGAACAAGCCATGGCAGAAGGGAGCAGATATCAGGGAAGTGGGATGAAAAGGGTCTTAGGCGTAAAGCAGAGGGAAGAGTTTAGGATGCCACCTCAGTTTTTGATCTAGGCAGCAGGGTAGCTAGTGGCCCTTTGCTGAGACAAGGAACACAGTGAGAGAAGGAGGTTGGGTGAGGATGGGTTGAGTCTGAGGAAGTGTGAGGAACCCTAGGGACTTCCAGATGGGGATATCCAGCAGGCAGATGGATACAAGGGTGTGAAGCACAGGCGATGTGTCTGACTGCCCATCCTTGCCAGTGGCAGGAATGAGATCATCCAGGAAGTGGGTAAGGAGGAGAGCTGAGGGCAGTGGACCACACAGAGATGAAAGGGATCGTCTGTGTCCTCTAGGAGTGAGATAAATAAGGGAGTGGAACCAAGTGACTACCAGCCCAGCCCTTTCACACCAGCAGCTTAAAATGGCAGCCATGATGTTAGCCAGCAGCCCCTGAGTTCCCAAGAGCCGTTTATCTAAGCTCAGCAGCCCTCATCCCTGAGTCCCCAGAGAGGATTCCCGGTCCCTGCAGCTGTTCAAAGACAGCCGATGGGGCTGCTCCTGGGGTTTTCTTCTGGGGCACAGGATCAAAAAGAGTTGGTGATGGGGATTTCCCCTCTGCCTCAAGGTTACACAGAAATCCATGTCAAGTTCTGGGCATTCCTGCCTCCCTTCCACGGGCACACAGGGAATCAACTCAGAGGTCTAGCTATGGAAGGCCCATTTCATGCTCTTATGTGGAAGTGTCAGAATGAGTGGCTAGCTTCAGGTCTGTCACCTAGAAAAGACTTACCCAGGAGTCTTCCAGCTGTATCTACCCTGGCAGCTCTGCCTGGATGTAAAAATAAGCCTAGCAACCCTGATTGCTTGCTTGCCAGTGCATCTGTCACTGAATGTGCATAACTTTTTGAAATGGGGACATACTGTGCCCATTTAACAGATGAGAAAACTGGGGCCCAGAGAGGTTAGGTGACTTGCCTGAAGTGAAGTCTGCATATGTCTGTACTGGGCACACTTCCAGGTTAAAACCCTAAATCTATGGTAGCCATTGACCATGTCCCCATCCTGTGAGAGCCCACCCTCAAACCTGCCACACCTCAGCTA